TGACGAGTTTGTTCCTGACAGCGATCAGCGTACGCCAAATGACAGGTTTAATAGACGGCAAGAATGATACCTTGGGCTTATTAGTGGTATCGCTGATATATGTATATATATAATTTATTTATTTTGCACCGAAATATAAATCTCATTCGGCTCAATTGAATCTGTCGCGATCATGTGCCTGTGAAAAGTCTACGCCAGGACCCACGGGGACGATGCCGTAGGGGTTGATGGACGGATGGGATCGGTGGTAGTGATGCTGTAGGATGATTGCAGGTGAGATTGAGCAAGCAATGTGATAGGCACAATATATACCGAGGGCGGTTGGGATGCATGACATGAAGACTTGGGTCAAGGAGAGAACCAACCAGAGAGCCGCACGCGACAACATGCATAGCAGTATCAATGATTGTATGATCCGGAGAAGCAATGAGGCTCAATGCGGCATCCACACGTACACAGACAGCCGTATAGCATACGGGATTGAGGTGGAAAGTAAAAGTAGAACTTACCTTGATGTGGGGCATGTTGACACTCTCCGAGACATTCTTGTACTGGTAGATGTCACGTACGTAGTTCTCCGTGTTGGGGTAGTCCGCCACACGGGCGCTGTTGCATTTGAAGTGCCCTACGTATACCTCGTCAAATCTCACCTGCAGCAGTCAGTACAGGTGCGGAAGACGTTATGTCTTGTCAATGCTTCAACAAATACCTACACCCACAAGAACACCCATGTACATAGGTACCCATCCCTACACACATGTACACACCCACACCACTGCTATTGATGCCATGTTGGTGCCACGAGTTGCTTAACATAGTGTGCGAAGCAATGCAACACAGCGACGTGGAGATGTACTAACGCCAGCACTATGTAGTCACATATACATGCTGGTATGTATTCAAATATCTGTGCGTATTGTCGGCTGGACGTGCGAAACGGCTCATGTTGTAATCCGAGACAATTAACTCCGCTACACGTGATCTGCAATCCGGTATACCAATCTATCGCAGACACCGTTCAACACCAGGTCATCGCAAGAGGAGCGTATGCAACAGGGCATCCACGTACATAGCCACAGATGTGCTACACTACTACCACCGCACGCGACACCGTACTAACACTTTGCAAACTGATTAACCAATAGACTAACCACATTTACATACTTTTCTCGAATTCATCCAATGAAAACGCGAATACAAGCAATGATAAACGGTGCAGCTAAACAGTCTCTTAAACAACTGAGACAATAGTTGGACTCCACACATACGGCCCAGAGAGGAATGAACTTACCAGCGTAACAAACAGCCGAATGTCTGCTTCTGTAACCTGGCTGCCGGCGATATACCTCTGTTTGCTCAGGATATCTTCGATTCTGATAAAATAAAATTATTGATATATAAAAATTGCTTACGGGTATATATGTGCATACATGTGCATACATTCTCCTGCAATTATGTTTAAATATATATGCACACACACATATATATATACACACACACACACATACACACACACACACACATA